ATCAATGGGAACAAAGTGCCAGCCATGCTGTAGCTTAGCTTCCTCCGTCTCCTTGTTGTGGCTTTGATTAATAACAAGCTTTCTGATAATGAGCAAAGCCTTCCCCATGGCTGCAGGGCCAGGGAAGCATCAGTGGCTTCTGGAGTGGGGTGGGGTGTGGAGATAAAACCGAAGTGTCAGAGAGGTGTGATTTGCCGACAGGAGGCTGGTTTTTGGAATGATGGCTTGGTTCCCCAAGGCAATTAGAGGTGGGTGGGCTGTGAAGCCGGCTCACAAGGCTGAAAAGTGGGAAAAGACCAGATATGAAAAAACAATGGAACATATGAGAATTAGAAGAAGAGCAGGTGCAGGTAAAGGTTCCCCTTGACAATTTGTCCAGTCGTGGCCGACTCCAGGGGGGGGTGCTCATCCTGTTTTCAAGGCATAGAGCCAGCGCTTGTCCGAAGACAGTTTCCATTGCCACGTGGCCAGCGTGACTAGGGAACGCCGTTTTACCTTCCCACCGAGGTGGTACCTATTTATCTACTCGCATTTTTGCATTTTACATGCTTTCGAACTGCTAGGTTGGCAGGAGCTGGGACAAGCTACAGAAGCTCACTCCGTTGCATGGATTCAATCTTATGACTGCAGGTCTTCTGACCTTGCAGCACAAAGGCTTCTGCAGTTTAACCCACAGCACAACACGTGTATAAATACCTCTTTGCCAGTGGACCTTTGGTACCAGATGGAAATTGGGTACCTTGCACTCAAAAATCAGATTTTGTCCTTCATCCTGAGGTTTTTCTTCCAACCTGGAGACTCAGGAAAATGATGCTATTCCGCGACACTTCAGCCAATGCCCTGAGATCCGGCAACCTTCGTTCTCCCTGCATTCTGTTCATTTTAGTTCTACAACTCAGGGTTGACCCAGATTAGCAAACGTCCCAGTTTTCAGCAAAACCCTGTCCTGGATATTTCCTGCAAAGGTCATACGAACTCTCAGCTAAAGTCAGCCCTGTGGACTTGGATCCAACAGTGGGGCAGTCCTGATGCACAATTACTTCTCTGTTGTCCCTCCATGCCCGTTTCTGTTGTTCAGAATAAAAATCAATACAGCTGTTGGTGCTGAGTTGTAAGATGACTTTTGACGGTTGGTATCTGATGAAGCCGTCACTCTGGGGTAGAGATTTACACTCAAATGGTTTTTCTATCGCCTGCCATCTGGTCTAAAGAGGTTTTCTTTTTCTCTCTCTTTTTTAACCCCCTCCGTTCTTGACTAATGGCCAAAGTAGCCTCCAGAAATCCACTTGTGATCTGAACATGAGAGAGTTTATGCCGCCCGAAGGGTGCCTTCAGAAGTGGAAGACACTGCCGGACGAGGGGAAGTTATAAAAAGAGGTCTCCGTGGTGCTCAAGTTCCCAACCCTCGCAAACCTAGATTCGGAGTTGGAGGGTTTTAGAAATTCAAACTAGGAGTTGTACCGGGGCGCTTTCACAGGATCGCCATGTTTATCCTCGGAGGCTGTTTTCAGCTGTGACATTGAAAGCCCTTATAAAGCTCTCTAGTAATAACAGTTAGCACTTATAAAATGCTTTCGAGCATTGAAAGCCCATCGCAAACGTTATCTCGGCAATCTTTAAAAACAAACCCGTAAAGTAGGCTGCTATTACAACCCCCAAATTGCTGATGTGGGCCAAGGCCTCAAGCCCATGTTCTGTTTGCTCCATCTGTCTCTATTTACCAGTGGCCTCCCTTTGCGTTTCTCCTCCTCGTCTTTCTCCGCCTTTTATTTTCATTGATCCTGGTCCGCAATCCAGCCCCCCATGACCACCTTTGCTTTTCCACAGTGGAAGACATATTCCTATAATGCTGTTGAAATAAAGGGGAGACGTGTGGTCCAAACAGATTAAAATATAAATGCAATAGCAGGCGATACCTTTACAGACCTCTAAAAACAAACAAACATGACACAGTATGCAAGCTTTCAGGGATTAAAAACACCACTTCATCAGGCTTCTACCAATGCGAGGAAATTTGAGTCCAAAGGTTTGTGGAAAGACGGATTTCACCAGGCACGTCTTTCTTAGATGTAAATCAAGAGAGGTGTAAGAAGCAGTGGTTGCTGTTTTAAGGTTACAGCTGAGGCAGCTGTGGACCAGAAGCCAGTATTCAGGTGAATTGCTAAAGTTTTCCCCACGGATTTCACCAGGCACATCTTTCTTAGATGTAAATCAAGAGAGGTGTAAGAAGCAGTGGTTGCTGTTTTAAGGTTACAGCTGAGGCAGCTGTGGACCAGAAGCCAGTATTCAGGTGAATTGCTAAAGTTTTCCCTTCACGCCCCAGTTTTTCAAACACGTGGTATTCAGGTGAATTGCTAAAGTTTTCCCTTGGAATTCCTCTCTCTCCTTTGCTCTTGGGGAGTAGGCACCTTTTGTGCATATACTTTTGGAAAGGAACAACGAGATAGCTCAGGGGTTGAGGTCTCCGGCTGCAAAGCCAAAGGTTGGGAGTTCGATTCCTCCCACTGGGCCTCGTTGACAAGGGATGGACTGGATGATCCAGACGATCCCTTCCAGCTCTGCAGTTCTAAGATATAAATTGGCTTAATTCATATTTCCTGAACTATTGCGTGAACTGAAGCAGAATTATATGCTGCATGCCTGTGCGTGTGTGCACACACGCATGCACTCACGCATGCACGCACACACACTCACTCACTCACTCACTAACACAGTCTCCATTAGTTGGCAATGTGGTTTTCAAAGTGATCGCTTTTCATAAAAAAGGAAAACAAAAGCAATGTTTTTTTTGTGGTACCTTAAGAACCAGCAAACCTACTTCTGCATGAACTTCCATGAATTGCCATTGATTTTACACGCAGGCAGGATACGTATGGTACTCCTGAGCGACCACCTCTATTTTCATAAAGTGGATCCTGCATAAGGTCTAACAACTCAGGAAAAGCTGGAAAGTAGCATACATGTCACCCACACCAGCTTATTAATTAAGCAGCAAGTCCTCACAAACCGGAGAAGCCACAATGGGTAGGAAAGAATATCGTGCATAGGAGCGAAACCGTTATTATGTGATCTATGTCATTCATTCCCATTCACTTTTTTGATGCCGTTCGGATGGAAAAGAGAATTTGCAGCTCTTTAGCTTGTAAAAACGGTGTCAGGAATTCTATGTTAAAGCACAGGGGCCCCAATCATCCTTTAGATTCCAAGAACACCAAGGTTTATGAAACACTGGTTTTAGAGTCAATAACCTACATTTCACAAGAGGAGCAATAACAAGAGATGGTGCAAAGCCAACAGTTGTTTTAGTCTATGCTTGATGCTATCTAAATACATAAAAGTTAAGATACCATATCTATAGAATCATATGTATTGAACAACATTGCTAATGATTAAAATTTCCTCCTAGGATTGCCATCCAATTAATGAATTTAGTGTCTTGGCTAGTTTTCCAGTGTTTTGGCTCTAACAGGGAATTGACTTCCCCGACTGCCTCCGATCAAGGATGTGAAAAACAGCCCGGCCTTCACTGTATCTTATCTCCATCCCAAGTCCCTTCATCAGTGTGATGTCCTGCTTACAGGAGGAATTGCTTTATGGGTGTCTTGGAGGGCATCCATCTGCGGCACAATGCTTTGGACATGATTTGGAGCAGCCTCCTCCAAGCCCAATAGATCCATCTAGCCAAGAAAGGATGATGTGCTTAGGACAGAGCGCTCACCCTGCTAGCTCATGCAGATGATGTTTCAACAAGGCCATAGCATGATGACATAATCAGGTGAGGTGGGAAATGAATGTGCCAGCAAAAGATTCCCAGAGAGACCATCACAGGCTGCTGTTTCTTTAGAGATTACCACGGGGCACACTGGACCAAGATAGCAAAACGTATACAAAGCACACACACTTTCTCGGCTCCTTTTTACCCCCAGAATATTGTTCAATTGTTTTGAGTGACACCACAGCTGTGACTTTGTATGGCAGTGAAAACCACAACTCATTTCTTCGGGAGTCCCATCTCATCTGTGAGCTGCTTCGCTCCAGATTATTTTTGGGGCTCTCCCAACCCACGACCCCGCTGTACGTGCACTTCTCCACTGATCTTTATTGACTCGTTCTCAGGCTCCAGTATCGTGGAAGACTCGTTTGCCCGGCTTAAAAATTAAACAAGCTTGTCACGGGCGGTTGCTCTGCATGATCCACAGATGTGGAATTCCTGCTGTTTTGCTTTTGTGGCTCGTCCTAGTTTGATCACATCCTCTGTGCCACCAGCCTAAAGCCACCCCCCCAAACAAATCAGTCGCGCCGCTATGAGAAATATGTCAGAGGAGAGTGGCTGATGCTTTTACAACCACTGGACCTCACCACCCTTGTAACTTTGGAAAGAGAAAAGTCCTTTCCACCTCCTCTTCCCTCTGAGCCCAGCATTCTGCTGTTTTAAAAAAGGATGGGCAGATTAGCCTCCGGCCATCCTGCTGACACAGAAAAGAGAGTGAAATAAAGTTTGCAGGAAATCTTTACAAGCGAGAAATCCCTTGTATGCTGATACCAGGTCCATATAACGCAGCAGCTTTTATTTTATTTTTTCTTTTGGTAAGCTGACCAAAGTTATTTGGGAAGGAAATGCTGTTTTGAGAAATCCCTTGTATGCTGATACCGGCTCCATATAACACAGCAGCTTTTATTTTATTTTATTTTTTTTGGTAAACTGGCCAAAGTTATTTGGGAAGGAAATGCTGTTTATTTATTTTTCCCCCTTTCTTTCACCACAGACACTGAATTCCAGCCAAAACCCAGAAAACGCTGTTCACCTTTTGGACTTGACATGCACACGCATGCACAGATCCACATGTGCCACACACCGATTTACCTGTAACCTTCCAAGACACAACCCAATTATCCCTCTTCCCTTTCTCCTGAGTTACACCCTGCTGCAACCAGCTGAAAGACATACAATTCCCAGGAGTTGTATGTCGCTATATAGGAGGAAGAGGATGAGGAAGAAAAACCAGAGGAAGCCTGTTATTTTTATGTGCTCATAAATGTTTTTATAGAAGAAAATATGTCAAGTGACAAGGCAGTTTGTTAGGGGCACATGGGGAAACCTCACCGCTGAATTTAATATTTTAAAGTGGGGGAATAGTTCTATCTGCCAGCTCTAGAGCCTCCGGCAATCTGTATCCTTCAAAGGGTTGGATACAAATGCAGGTTGCACGGCTGCCGCAGACATAGGGCACAATCTGCCACGTCCAGCTGTACAACCTCGATTTATTTTAGTCCCATACATGCCCCACTGAGGTGCATGGGCACAGGGACGTGCCAGGCAGTCGTGGCCTGCAAAGAGCCGAAGTTGTGAAGAGGGCACCTCTACTCTGCAGGGGTGAGCCAATTTGATCAGTGGGTTCAGGCAAAATGACATCACATTTTTCAATGAATGTTTTCTGGAGTGCTGAAACGCCATCTCCCATTCCAGGGAGACATCGTGCAACTTTCCATCTGAATGGCCTGCAGGCTCTGTGGTCCTTAGCAAGGATTGGCTGTTGCTGATGGGCTAGAAGGTGGAAGGAGAGCACGGTGTGATCCCTCATGGTTTAGGAATCTTGTCTTCCACAAATTCAAAGAGGAGAAAGCGATTGCTCCTGGTTTGGAAAGCAGTGCAAGAACAGCAGCATGGGTACCCATAGTGAACCAGGGGCTCCTCGAGACCATACTTGCAGGGTAACACCAGAATGCCCAAGTCACTGAAGCTTGTGAGGGATCTAATCAATATCCTCCTCAATTTCTAGTCAGCTTGCATTTTCTTGATACAGTTACTTCTGTATTCTTGATACAATTACTTCTGTATTCTTATACAAATACTTTTGTATTCTTCCTTACTATGGAAAATCCATTAAGGAAAGAAAGAAGATAAAAAAAAAAGTGGGGCAGTGCTTTTTGATTCTGTGGCTCTTGTTTCTAGAAGCACTCAATGTTGCTGAACAAGGCTCAGAGGTTGGGGAAAGGTGTGCCTTTGCACACTGAGATACTTTTTTCAAGAAATATTTCCAGCCTCCAAAGAGGGCGACCTTCACCTTGAAAGCTCTGAACAGCAGAATGATCAACACAGCGGTATGAAGAAGTCATTCCTAATCTTGAAGGAACTTGGAAAGTTGTAATGCCTTGTGGGGGGAAAGGATACGGGGTAGGAATCGCCAACCGATATTTCTTTGCATATTTCTAAAAGACTTTTTGGTGGAAGCCTCGACAATCTGGCATACAAACTGACAACTGATATACATTTTGTAGTGAAGAGAGGGTCTAAGTTTCAGTTTCCCATCGAATGGGCTGAAACCTCGCCAGTACAATACATTCTTCCAGGTCCCAGTGTAACCTCCTTTGCCATCAAGTTCCATCCACTTCTACAGAGTGATTATAGGTTAGATTATACGATACAGTTATAATGTAGAAGTGGAGCATCTTGAGAGTAGAAAGACATTCACTTATTCTATTACAGGGCTTCTGTAGCTCTGCAACTGGCACGTTCCCTTGCCTCTGCACCATGATCAGTCCTCTTGATGGACCTCCTTTGCCTGTTCAGTTTTTGGCAAGGCAACCTTGAAGGAATTCATCCACGGAGAAATAATGTTTCTTCACCTCCTAATTGCAAAGCTGACATCTTGGATAGTTTGGCCCCCAATTGCAGGGAGTCTGTGTCTTCCTGAGTGAACGTGATGGTAGTAGGGATGTGACTTTTCACCTCCTATTTTGAGAACCCCAATAACAGGTTTATTTTTCAGATATCTCTTTGATGGTCCTGGCTAGCAATGGCTGTTGCTCCAAAACGGATGGATGCCTGTGGTACAGATGCAAACGTATTTGGCAAGAACAGCCAAAAGGACCATCTGGGGTACTCAACGCTGAACCGTCGCATGTGTTTTGTTTTCTCTTACTCTCAATCTTCTCCCAGTTGGAAGAAGACGGAAGAAGGATGGTGTGCTCTACATTCGGGATTTCCAAAAATCCCGAGCACAGCTTTGTTAGTTTACCAAACAGCATCCATGCCACGCCAATGAGATTTGTGTTTCATAACCGGTCCTCCTCAATCCAAATCATTTTCTGTTGTTCTTCCCAAACCTTTTCCTTGATCATCCGGAGCAGGTCCTCAACGGTGCTCCAGGTGTCCACACCCATGGAAGCGTAAAGGCAGGGCAAACTTTCGAGTTCTTTCTCACTCTGGCGACACATCGGTAATAACTCATCCTCGATCTCTGGTTTCGGCAGCAGTTTCCTGCATTGTCAAAGGAGGCCAAAACAAGACATATGTAACGCAGGTGTCTGTCTAATGCAAGTTCAGTAAATAACAATGTGTTGATCATTAAAAATATTTGTTACCTAACACATGGCATAACTGGACATGTTCGCCCAATATGTTTATGATCACCCTCCATTTACTTTCAGATAACTGAGACATATTTCTGTTCCTCGGTGGGATATAACACTGCTAAGTAATAATTTTCTATTGATTTTCTATTAAATTTACATTTAAGCTACTTTTCACTGCCATCTTCTATCTGGTTTCCCATTTGTTCTCTGAAACTCTAATCTGAAGGTCCCTTTCTAATTTACACCAATAAAAGAGCGTTACAGGATAGCGTTTTAGGCGTGATGATCGTGGGTTTGGGGGATAAGATGTGATCATGGCATTCTATTCCACAGCTAAGGCTGGGGATAAAAAGTTTCCTTTTCTACAGGAATCTTTGATCAAAACTAAATCCTGCAACTAAGGAGAGGGTATTTAAGAAAAAGGAGTGTTTTTTTTAAAAAGGCTAGGAAAATGAAAAGGGAGGGCAGAAGAAAATATTGAGTGGAAATAAAAAAACACACACCGAAACAACAAAACAAAGAGGAAACAGAAGATGGACGTGTAACGAGTAAAAGGAAATAAAAGTTTCAGAGAAAATAAAAATATTTTGAGGACAGTCAGGAAAGGGAGGTGCTGGTTTTTTCTCTACAAAGCCCCAAAGGAGTATCTGAGGTCGTCACTGGAGATTCTGTGCAGGTCTTGCCAACTCCTGGAGCAGCCTCTTGACTATGGGATGCTCTCCAAAGGGAAAACAGGCCAAAAAATGAGTGTTTTTTTTAAAAGGCTAGGAAAATGAAAAGGGAGGGCAGAAGAAAATATTGAGTGGAAATAAAAAAACACACAAAACAAAAGGAAACAGAAGATGGACGTGTAACAAGTAAAAGGAAGTAAAAGTTTCAGAGAAAATAAAAATATTTTGAGGACAGTCAGGAAAGGGAGGTGCTGTTTTTTTTCTCTACAAAGCCCCAAAGGGCTTAGAGTATCTGAGGTCATCACTGGAGATTCTGTGCAGGTCTTGCCAACTCCTGGAGCAGCCTCTTGACTATGGGATGCTCTCCAAAGGGAAAACAGGCCAAGTTCCATCTCATCTGAGTTCCCGACAGACAGCCAAAACTATATTGTTCCGAAGTTTCCCCCCCCCATTAAGATTGGTTTTCAAATGGAAATTTAGAGAATTTTTGAAATCTGCATTTGAGAGAATATGTTCCTCTGTCTTTTAAAGAATCTATTAAAACACAGATTAATTTTTAATCACAGAGTAATTCACTTGGGGAGCTCTAGCAATGGAAAAGAGGCAAATCAATTAAAAAAAAAAACCCTATAAACAGATTGGATGTAGAAAGGAGGTGCTCTGGGTTCTTTTCAGAGCAACTCAGGAGCCGACAGGCTTGAGGGTTCGCGTTGCCCGTGGCTAATGTTTTCTCCTGCATTTTTGTACTTTCTGGTTACTGTCATCAGGTCAGATGCTCTAAAAAAGGGGAAGGAGGAAAGTTGTACTTCCCGGAGCGAAAGCGCTGCTGCCCGAAGAGGGAGGAAATGGCCTGTCTTCACCCCTCTTCTCAGCAACATCAGTCTAGTAATATCCAATGAAATTAACCGAAGCATTCAATGTTACCTGAACCTCTTGATATTCTTTTCTGAAACTCTAATAAAGAGAACAATAGGGTATATCTTGGCCTTGATTAAATCCTTTGCACAGCCGATTCCAACTTCAAGCAGGCAGTGTTTGTTCTGTAAACACAAAGTGAGGGGAAGGGACTTTGGTAAGCAGATCTTGACATTTGTAAGTGTACAATCTCCAGCACAATCAGCTGGATCATGTCTACTGATTGCACACCTGATAAAAGGGCTTTACATGACAAGCAAAGACACATTGGTAGCCTTCGTCTTTAAGTTCCCCAAGGTCTTGCTCTTTTCATCTCATTTCTCTTGGCACCCCATGACATATTTTTTTTTGCCTCTTACTACTTCTTTACAGCTCTGTGGTCCTCCTGCTGTCTTCTGTGATTCCTCCTGCCTTCTGTTGCTTCTCCTTCACGGTGAGACCCTTCACATGGCTATCCAAAGTCTCCTTCAAGCTCACCTGTTCTTCAAGGCCCTTGATGGAAGCCAAGGTGGCTCTTCAGAAGCTCAGTTCCAATCAGCCCCACCCAGCATGGCCAAGGGTAAAGAATGATGGGAACTGTAGTCCAAAATCTCAAGGATCAGGTTCTGGAGGGCTGTCAGTTCTCTCTGTGTTACGTGCTTCCTCCAATGACTGTAACAGAGTTTTCAAGGTACGCAAGAGATCTAAGGATTGGCTTTTACCAGCTCTGTTCTGCAGAGTTACTTTCCACAACTGAGCAGGGATTTAAACCCATAGTGACTGTAACAGAGTTTTCAAGGTACGCGAGAGATCTAAGGAGTGGCTTTTACCAGCTCTACTCTGCAGAGTTACTTTTCCACAACTGAGCAGGGATTTAAACCCAGGTTTGCTGAGCTGTAATTTGTCACTCTGTCCACTAGATCTCATTGACTTTATTGGTTCTCTGGCATAAACCATTAACTTTCATTTCAATCAGATATTATTACATCTTTCTACCTTTTTTTTAACTTGTGCCAGTGCTTATATTAGTGTGTGTTCTTGTTCAATGCAACTGAAGGATAGTAGGTTGTTAAAAAAAAGGCTGATCAATTCTAGTTTAGCTTTGCTGACTGTCATTCTCAGATCATTACAGAGCACAAAATCCGTAGGCTACTGTACGATTCTGTTTACTGAATTGTACAAACAACACAGCCTATACAGAACCAACGTCTTAAAAGTCCGAACCACCCTAACGAACGATCAGTACTTTCACTGAAACCTTTTCGTTCAGAATGAATTAATACAGATTAAGAGAGGCACAACCTCTCCCATCATTCCCAGAACATCTGGGCCAGATGCTTTAGCTTCAGTGCAGTGGAAGGGGGTGGGGACATTAGATAATTATATGGTACAAGATCATTGACTTGCCTCAACTCACACAGGCAGGGCCTATTCACAAATCTTCCTTGCAGAATGGAAGGAAATAGCCAATGGCTCTAGTAAAAGCCCGCCCATGCCTGCATTCCACCGTGGTTTACTGATGCACTTCGAGGGCACCGATATCAATAATGCATTCCAGGTCCGGAGACGCCAAACCTGATTCAAAGTCAATTACGTAAATCCATTCTTTTCCTGCCTTCTACATTTAGTTTGTTAATTCAGAATCAAGGCCCCCTTTTCAAAAGGGAATTAACTGATCTAAAGACAGGGATTATGCCAAAATGAAGGTAGCATGTACTAAACATAAGCACATAATTGAACTTTGTTTGTTCAAATGCACCATGTTCTGTAATTACTTCTCAAAGGGGGAAAAAATCCTTATACTTGTCTTTTCTCTGCTGCATAACAAGCATTCTGTATTTGATGCCATCTGTTTGGGCTTGACATTACCATCTTTGTTCTGAACATCACTGTCTCTTCCTAAAAGCTCAGGCAAAACCTCTTTATAGATACAGATACAAAGACCCCAATGGATTGCCATCTCCTCTCGCTGCAAGCAGAAAGAATCAAGGGCGCAAAACGGCAGAGCAAAGATTAAAACTGGAGGGTCATCTCACAGAGCCATGAAGGATGGCAGAAGAGAGCTTGGCCTTTCCATGAGAAAAGGCAGATGAAGGGAAGGGACGGGCAAGGAACATCTTCCATAAAGGTGGCTCCGTATGGAGCCAGAATGATCCGATCCACACAGAAGAGAGACAATATCACTAGGAACCCTGAAATCTGTGGAAATACAAATGCATGTTCATGTCCTCTCCATCTTTTTTTGCAAATTTATCCCTCCTCCAGGTAGGGTGGTTGCTTTTTTTTAAAATAAAAACTTTTAACTTATGGGATATTTTCTGACCCCCATGGAAACAGGCTGGATAGCCCAGTGGTTTAGGTCACTGGCTGTGGAACCAGAGACCGAGAGTTTGATTCCCCCAGTGGGTCTCCTTGAGAGGGGCTAGACTCAATGATGCATCAGGTCCCTTCCAGCTCTGCAGATGTAAGATGATCTAAGATGATCCCAGTGCATTCAGGAATGGTAAAAAATTAGGGTTAGGCATGGACAAAGTTTGGTAGGTTTTATATTTGCTTAACCTCTTGAGAACTCCAGCATCCCTCTTGAATGAACAACTTGAGTACTCTACAGTGGGGTCTCTACTTAAGAACTTAATCCGTATTGGAAGGTGGTTCTCAAGTTGAAAAGTTCTTACGCTGAATCTGCATTTCCCATAGGAATGCATTGAAAACCATTTAATCCGTATCTGCTCTTTTCCGTCCATAGAAACTACAGTGGAACCTCTACTTAAGAATTTAATCCGTTTTGGAATGGTGTTCTTAAGTTGAAACGTTCTTAAGTTGAAGCAAAATTTCCCATAGGAATGGACTGAAAACCAATTAATCTGAGCATCCCTCTTGAATGGACAACTTGAGTACTCTACTTCTGATTCCGGGCACTGTGGCTTAATAGAAAACAGGGTGGGATATTTTATATCCCAACAGATTACATTAGTGGGGGGGGGGAGAGAAACCTCACTGGCAAAATGCAGTAGATTAGTTGGAATTAATCTTTGCTGGGCTCTTTTTTTTTTTGGGAAAAGTAGGAAGGTTTTGGTACATTTCTCACTCTCTGCAACCCAAAGGAAGTGGCACCAAGAGGACTACTTCGGAACTGCTCCCTATTCAAGGGAGACAGACAGACACAAGGAAAGATTTGGCCATTTTTCAGAAAGCAGATTGCTCTGCATTGCCTCATGATATAAAGCAATCTCGAATACCTTGGCTGAGACCGCCTCAACGTTTGCAGGGAAAATACATTCGTAGGTGTGTGGATTCCTTTCTCTGGAGTATATGATTGTCTCTGTCAGGCGCCTCCTCGCGAATTCTTCCTTTGTTATGATATCTGGAAAAGTAGACGAAGAATAAAAGGTTCACAGTCATGGATGCTCTGTAACCCAGGAAGATCTCCAGCCATCTTTTGGAGAACATGCACCAAATAAAAGCAGCCAGGACTGCACTTTTCAAATGCTGGAAAAGTGGAAGGGCAGGATCTGTTCTCGATCATCTCAGAGTGCAGGACATGTCACAGTGGGCTCAAGGGATAGGAAGCCAGATTCAGGCTGAATATCAGGAGAAACTTCTCAACTGTTAGAGCAGTATGACAATGGAACCAATTACCTTGGGAGGTAATGACTGCTCCAATACTGGGGGCATTCAAGAGAAAACGGGACAACCATCAGATCTGCTTTGATCTGGATTCCTGCTTTGAGCAGCAGGTTGGACTCAATGGCCTTATAGGCCCCTTCCAACTCCATCATTCCATGATTCCATGATTCTAAGACAGAAAACAGGTTTATTCCTGGCACCGTTTGGACCTGGTAATGCTTGAAAACCCTTATTCTCTGACAGAGAGGAAACTGGAAGACAGCAGATTCCTGCTACAATTTATGGGATGTATGGCCTAGGCAAGACATGTCTGCCGCCATCTTTAAGATGGTGCACAGAACAGCCAAAGTAATGGTGTTGAAATAACACAAGTAATATTTGCTTAAGAAGGATGGCGATGTCACGGAAGGCAGGCATCCAAGACGAAAGACAGGCTGTGTGGCATCCCCATCCTGCCCAGGTGAATCTGTCTGCCTCCAGTTTGGTGTTTCCACCAGTCAACCACCCTGTGGGGCAGGAGCTGGCAAAGTTCAAAAGCTTCTCCACACCCAAAAGCAGCATTTCAGCTCTTGCACTCTTCCGCAGCATGAGACGCGCTTCTTGGGCAGCAACTGTGTTTTATTCCTGGGCCTGCGAACTGGACTCTAATGCAAACCGATTGCAAGCTGTAGCTTCGGACACCCCAAGAAGGCTGTCAGTGGAGGTGGGGACGGGACTGAGCGGGAGGCACAAGAAGCTGCACTTAAAAGGTGCAGAAGAAATGATTGCTATAGTTATTATCCTCAGATCTGCAAGCCTGGGGCTTTCGCTGGCACCGAATAGAGCTGGCAGCGTGTTTATCCTCAAGCTAGTTAAATCTGGTGAACTTGAGCATGACCTATTTCAAGAAACAACTTATGAAGCGCCAGGACGGGAGAATAACTGACATCTCAGTAATTGCTAGCCCGTGTTGCCCCGTCAAGCTCTTCTGAGAGACGGCGTTTTGACAACGTAGTGTGTACGGGTTGCAACGTCTAACAACGGGCGATGCATAGAGGAGAGGCGGAGGCACTGGATCGCGGTCTGGATCAGACCAAATGTATATCTCGTCCAGCCTTCAGTCCTCCGGCAGCTTCAGGAACTGCCCAGACGATTTTGGACTGTTTTGCAAAGAAGGCAGGAAGAGAAGGCCAAGCCCAGGTCACTTGCTTGGAGCCATCAGTCATGCACGGTGCCCTGTCAGTCCACACGGAGAGAAGTCCATTGACAGGCTACTGATCTCCCCTGACTTGGTCACCTTCGCCAGTGGTGCAGCAGCAGCCACAGTGACACAGCAACCTTCGGCAAGTTTACTCAGACAAAAGTCCCGCCATGTTCAGAGCGCCTTGTGATGTGAGGTCGAGTCATTCCCACCCTACGTCTACCCTGCGAACGAATGCTCTCCAAAAGGGTCCTCCCGCTGACAGCCCTGCAAGAAAAAGTTGTGGCTTCCTTGACTGAGTCAATCCATCTCATGTCGGGTCTTTCTGCCTTTCCTACGGCAGTCTCATTTTTCCCAAGCACTGTTCTCTTTCCCTCAGTTTCTTCCTTAGCCCTCAGTTTACTCAAGTCTTGATTTAATAACATGTAGCCTGAATAATTTAATTGTAAACCGCACAGAGAGTGCTTTAAGCACTATGGGCCGGTATGTAAGAAGAGCAATTTGCTTTAATCAAGAAGCAATTTATTTGAATTTCTGGCAGCCCGTGGTATCTGTATACAGCATTCCTCAACGCCGTATTTTGAGAAAGCAGATTTTTTTTTTCCTGTTGTTACATTTCATTGTCCGGCTTTCGCAATGGGCCATAACATCCCGACAGTAAATATGCTCGGAAGCCAAGTATCAAGGACAGGATACCAAACACACTGGTGGAGGGAGTAAGACCCACTGAAAACACACAAAATATTGTATTATTACAAGGGGAGTGAGGATTCATCCCAAGGTGAGAAAGACCGGCCAGTAGGCGATCGAAAGAGGTTGGAGATTCCATTCAACTGGCATTTAAAAGTAAACCATAGTGTTACAGAAGTGCAGTGTTGGAGGGAATCTCAAGATCATCTAGTCTAGCCTGTACAGAAAATTAACCAACCGATGAGTGAATTTTCCTTGACCACAGCTTGGAAGAATCTCCCACTGGCCATGTTTTACAGTGGGGCAAGTTTATACGGTTTTATTACATATTTAACTAAATGCATCTATAAACTCTGGCTTTCCCCCCGTTCTTTTCTTCAAAGAAATCCAGTTGTGCTAGAATGGGACAGCCTGGCTTTGTAGCTCCGCTTAGTGAGATTACCTGGTTTGCATAAATTGAATTCCAGGGCTCCTCCAGAGTTGAGAAGTTTCTGAATCAACGTCTTGGAGAGCATCGTGGGGCAGAAGAGGACGGGGCGCCGCCATTCACAGGAGATACGCCGGACTGAGCTATATGGGACTAAGTCGAAACTCTTATGGATCTCGGGCAGTGAGTCAAACTCTGGGGAGGAAAGACAGGAGCAGTGACATTCAAGAAATGCATTCAAGGTAGAACTGCGAGAAACCCAATGTGGGATCTATGGAGACACCAGAGAGATTTGCACCCATCAAATAAAGGCATGGTGGAGACCATGTTCATGAAAAATGACAGCGTGCCTGGAATACACATATCTCTAAGGCTAAAGTGAATTCACTGTCAATGGCCTCCTGAAGTTTCTAAGGATGGCTTGCCACCTCCACCACCTGTCATCGAAAATGGTGTAACGTAAGAACTGGGTAAAACTGCAGATTCAACTCTGGCCCATGTCAAAGTTCTGGCTATTATTTGGCTTGGGACCAAGATATAGGAAAGATCGCCTAAAGATCAAACCTCTGAATCTTGTGAATGTGTCCATCCATCATAAGCATTTGGGGAGTTTTGGCTTTGTGTTCCACCACCAGGAAAGGGGCATTTGGTGGGGACATGATCCATGGTCTTCTTAGTAGCACCCTCCCCCCAAAAGGAAGGCTATGGCTGCCACAGTTGCCTTGTCTCTTGTTTCCAGGCAGAGGAAACTGTTCTGCACTCATGGCAGCCTTCGGCATCTGCAGGAAGATGCACACTGGCCTGAAAGAGCATAGGAGTCATTGTGTTACATTGTGTTACTGCTCTGGGAAATTGCACACCCAGTGCCATGTGGGTGAAGCTTACAATGACTTATTTCCAGAGACTGCTTTTCTTACATACTTTCAAAGTTGAGCTTGCATGGCTCCTTTGGTACCTTCAAATCTGTCCAGCGCCACGTGGGTGGCGCTTACAATGACTTATTTCCATAGACTGCTTTCCTTACATACTTTCAAAGTTGAGCTTGCAACGGCTCCTTTGGTACCTTCAAATCTGTCCAGCAGTGCCTTTGTCACCGGCTGCACCTCCGTCTTGCCATGGGTATCTTTCGATGTGACGATGCGGACCCGCTCGTTGCTGTTCATGCGCTTGTACTTGTTTTCAGACCTGCTGACAAACTTCGAAGAGACAGATGCCCTTGTCAAGGTGAGCTTTGAGACCGGAGGCCTTTGAACTGGCCCGCGTGATTTGCTCAGAGGGCATCCTAAGTCGGCCTTAGCCACCCGGTCCTTTCCCTGAGAGGGCTTCCCTTACACGGGCCTGACCTTCAGCTTGCCTCGGATTTTGTGATCTGCTCCTGGTCATCTCAACCAATCAAAGCACCCAAGAGAAGACCAGGCAAGACACAATAACCAGTCATGTTCTTTCACCCCTGGAAGAGCTCGCTCCATTTTTCCCCCTTTCCCTTTTGATAACTCAAGGCGGCAACTTTGCCCAATCCGATCTGATCATCAGGATCAAGCCAACATGGGGAACAGAGAATGAGAATAAGGAGTGCCTGCAGGATCCAGAAAGCAAAGAAGCCAAGAGTCCAGGGCAAAAAGGAGGGAGAGCAGGCACACAGCCCCAGAGGATGGGGCAATGGTAGAGAGGAAATGTTTGTCTCAAGGAGCCTGGACAGAGGCAACAGTCATTTAAGGTCCAGGTGGGACTCCCACAGCCTCTGCTGAGTTACTGAACGCAATACCACCCTCTCTGCCTGCGGTGGGTGGCATCGAAACTCACCAGTTGATAGATCAGCCAGTGATTCTGCTAACATGTTAAAGAAAGCAGCCAAAGGGCTTGCCCCCTCCCCCGCCTGAGACCCTTTCCTTGAAGCCTTCAGATAGCTGCTCCCAATGAAAGCTGCAAAGTTATGTCTTTTTCCACTCCCAGGAGACTTCAGGAGTGTCTTTTGAAAAAAACCACACAACCAAAGTGGAAACCCCCCTGTTCCCCCCAAAATCCATTAAAAATGGAATCTGAAGTTCTTTACAATATAAAAAATGTCCGATACGTTGTTGATTTCTTGTGGCCCACAAGAGGTGAAAAATTCATTCCTGCGCTATCCAAAGTTGCTGAATTGTGATAGGTGACGAGAAAAATGGTCCAAGGGTGTAAAGCAGTTGCACTGCATTGAAAAGTCATTAGTTCTTAGCAACAGAGATAATCAGCCACTGGTGGTATTATTATTATTATTACTATTGTTCTAAACACAAGCTGATCTCAGTGCTTTCTCAGAAGAGCGGCGACAGCTCTGGTGAGCCCCTGCAAGCCTGCACAGATGGGGAAACGGGAGTTGCAAAACGAGTCAGGAGCTGCACCTAACACAGCCAAAAGGCAGCCACAAACCACACTCCTTTTGCAAGACCTACCTGGAGGATCTGGCCCAAAAGGAAACTGGCTCGGGAGAGACGAGGGCTAGCTTTGGAGTCACTTGGTGGCGTGCTCTCTTCAGGCTGCAGAGTATTCTGGCAGGAATTGTATGAGGAAAAAAAAAAGGATTGAGGGAGGAAGCATGTGAATACGCTGAACGCATTTTTTGGAAGAAGAGTGAGGTAGCTGTGCACTTGGCTGCACTCCAGATGTTCCCAGGCTGCAGCTTCTGACATCTGTCACCAGCAAAGCCTGTGGTGAGCAATGAGGTGAAAGGCAGTCCCAATCAACATCTGGAGGGCCAGATCCAAGCAAAGACGTACAATCAAGAAAGAGACTGGAGGACACAGGATGGTGCCTTATTCAAAACTACAGTGGTACCTCGCTTAGACGACAACCCCGCTGTACGACGAATGCAGGATGGTGACTTTTTGCGATCGCTATAGCGATTCACAGAACAGTCGTTCCCATGGGGAAATTCTGCTGAATGTCGATTAGGTCCGTGCTTTACAAACCGTCTGTTCGCAAGACGACGATTTTTCCGGCTTTGCAAAATGGCTGCCCTGTTTTTTCCGGACCCATGCTTCACAGGGCAGTCATTTTAACAGCTGATTGGTGCTCGGAAAATGGCTTCCACTATGGTCTCTCTTCACTGGACAACGAGGTAAATTCCCCATTGGAATGCATTAAACAAGTTTCGATGCATTTTAATGGGGAAAGGCTTTTCGCATGACGACGATTTCGCTTAACAGCGATTTTCCGAGAACGGATTATCGTCATCATGCGGGGCACCACTGTATTGTTCCATCTAGCCTGACAACCATCTACTGGTTGGACTAAGCAATTGCTATCCATTTGGAAATGGGGTCTTCCCACCAGCAGCCAGACGATTCTTTATTTGTTAAACTGTAGATGCAAGTGATCAAATACAAAGCCTTCATCATTCAGTCTCTTTGCCACTCGGCCACATTCATCGTGCTTGATTTTGGAAGAGAAGCAAGGCTGGACCTTCAACAGAAGACCGTCAGGGGATATGGGGGGATTTCCAGGTGTGGCTAGGAAAGATTTCTGCCTCAAACCCTGAGGGGAGGGATCTACGGCCACTCAGAGCTGACAATACTGAATTATAGGGACCAAGAGTCTGACTAAGGGTGTGATCAGACTTTGATCAAGGATGACAACTGATCTTGCTGGAAAGGATTCCTTCATTAGGAGAGATCTTCTGTAAAACAACCCTTCCCATCCCTACAGGAATCACTCCAGCCCAGCCCCCCCCCCAAAAAAAAGAGTAGCCATGCCACGGGGCCATAAAGATCCACCTGGGGCATGAAGCAGGGTCAAGCTGGTTTGCAATATTGTGTAAGCCAGGAAATAGCTCGCACCGGACTGTACCACAAGCACGAGCAATTTCTCCATCTGATTGCACCTTAGGGATAAGGCTGCTGCTTATGTTCCTGTGACATACAGATCAAAGAGATCTTGGCATCAGAATAAACTCACAATCTCCCTCCCCACCCCCGGGTCTCAATGAAACCTCCGTACGTTGAAGCAAGAGGCCTCCGATTAGCAGGGACTAGGGAAAAAGCTGGAGAGGTGACTTCGATGCCCGGATTACAGACCTCCGCAGAGACGTCTGGCTGGCTCGTATGGGAAGAAGAAGACTGAACCCAATAGACCGCAGGCGGGGGCAGCAAAGCCATTACTAAGCTGCTACATATATATCAGAATGAAAAGCAGCCTTCCCCACGAAATCTAACCAGCACATGGGCTGGTGGTTGTAAGAGCAGTTGAGGGTCATCAGCAGAAACTGCAGCGGCGTTCAGAGAAACGCTAGCCTCATAATGGGGAGGGGGAAAGTGGATTTATGGAGAGTGTGACGAAGAGGTCGGAGGGTGGGGGAAAAGGTGGGGGAAAGGGACTCGGTGGTTCATCAGTGCCCACGGATGGGGGAAAAGCTTCTTACCCGGGATGTTCGGAGTGTACCGTAGGAACTCTCCATTTCATCCCTAGTGCCTCGATTCATCAGCCGCTGCAGCTTCACCAGGAGGAGCTGTTGGGCTCTGCAAAGAGACGACGTGGAAATGTGTACGACTCCAGGCATTAACGGTGGAGTCAATCAAGGAAACAAAGTGGAATGAAAGACTGCACCTAAAGGGAGAAAATCTTGATCGCACATCATCGTTTCCTAGCTGTTTAGTCTGGAGGCAGTCTGTTTCCCTCCTTCCTTGGAGAGCTGAGCTGGGAAAAAGGATTGCCACTCAGAGCATATATGCCGATCGCTCCTCTTTTACCTCTGTCGAAAACACCAGCCTGGGAAACATCTCCCGTTCCCTCCCCCCCAAACTATAGTTTCAGAAATGATGCTCTTGCTAAGCTCTAGCTGAATGTGCTCCCCAGGCTTTGTCATCATTCCAGGGTTCTGAAGATGACCTGGCTGGTCGCAGAAAGGCTCTTGATTTTCCCCAGTGATATGTCCAAGGCATCCTTGGGGGTGGGGTGGGGTAAATGGATAGGGAAGTAAAAGAACCCCAACACAGCCCCTGCCTCCTGTTGCTTGCAGCCTCTCTTTTGGTGGGGGAAAAAAAACCCCAAGATGGCAGGGGAGGCTGACGACTTCAATTTCACGAGAGCAGTGGATCCACTCTGGGCTGTAGCCTTAACTTTGAAGGAACTATCCATGGTGCTGAACATACGTCTATCTAGGCAACCGGTGTCACAGACAGCTCCGGTGGAGGTCATCTGGAGTGGATTAGCCATTTCTGAAAAAGTGAAGCCACCGGCCCCAGCTGCAAGATGGTACCCATCACCATTCTAGGTTTTAAAGCTGAGCAGACTGGCAATGGGCTGACATCTTCCAATGCACCACAGGGGAACAGTGAGGGTATATTGCATGGCCCATGGCAGGCCATTTGACACTGCCACTGCCGACACCCTCCAATGTCCTCCTGCTGCCCTACAGGATCTGCCACGAAAAGGAAATTGCGTCTCTCTGCCCAGTGGCCGCTGCAGCTGATGATGTGATTTGACCCTGCCTCAAACTATAGGGAGCAAGTTCCCGGAATCCTGCTGTGCCATCAGGGCAGCCGAGGACCACAGCAGATGTTTATTGGTAGGCCCCCCAACCCCTGCACTAGATCAGAAAGCATGTTGATGTTGGAAAGAGGACTCAGGGATCAATCCACCTTCAAAGGCATCCAGTCCTTAGCTCTTGGGTAGTACTCACCAAATAAAACAAGCTGACCCGCAAACTCCAGGAGTTGAGAAGACTCCCGTGGACACTCATGCAAGAAAAGTACAACTTTTAGGTCCACACATTCTGAAACGTCCCTTTTTTGGTGGCCAATCAAAGATGATGTTAGCATCAAATGCATCCTGTTTGTAGTTTCCCCATGCCTCAGATGTGGACCTGGGGGTGTGTCCTGGGCTCACCTGCTTGAGTTGGGGATGGTACCCATCTCCACGTCCTTGCCAGTGAAAGGGTCCACTCTAGCACAAAGCCACTCGCACTTCCCCTGGTACATGGTGTCAAGAACGTGCACAATCTCGTCGCATTTCACTGACAGGGAGCAGCAGTCCAACAGACTGGAGATGCTCAGATTCAGGCGGATGTAGAAAGAGTCTCCGGACGTGATAATTCCTTTTTCAATTTCAGACAGCAGCCTCCTATACCCTAGGGTGGGAAGAACCAAGCCACAGCTGACTGCAAGACACCAGGAAGTTCCCTTACCCTGACTCAGACAATTAACCCAGAGTAGCCCAGTTTTGTCTCCTCTCCCTAGCCTTAACTTTCTAGAGGGTCACCCCAATCCTGGAAGAAGAGCCTTTCCTAGCTCCAGCTCATGGAGACTTATAGATATCAATCCTTACCAGTGCAATCAAGAAACCACAGTACTTGTCCTCTTTTCCTGCAAAAATCCTGAGATTTTTTTCCCCTGACGACCTCAACAAGAATAATTTTTTTTCAATGCAAGTTGGATAAATTGCAGAAACCATACAGCTAAACAAAGACAAATATTGCTTCATTGTGTTGTTTTTTTTAAAAATGAGAAGCTTTGGATGGGTTGCTTGCATCTCGGTATGTGCATGTGTCAGAGAGAGTGCTTTGCAGCACAAAAGGAAAAGACACTAGTTCTGCATAGGGACATTTTGTGCAAATGGTGGAAATATCAATAGGGGGAAAAAAGTCCTCATCTCATCCTCATGTTGGAAAGGAGCAATTTTTCAACAAACGAGTTCTTGCCAAGCTGCATTTGTATGTCATGACTGCTGTCTCACTGAAAATTAATAATTTGGTTAGATTTCTTTGCATGTGTAATATAAACTCTTAGGCTTGAGTCCAGTTGCTGGCCCCAATTAGAACAGAGCTACTGAATCAATTGCTAAGTCAAGTTTTTTTTTTAAAAAAAAATCCCATTGATTCATGGGTCTTCTACAGCTCGGACTAGCTCGCCTTGATTCTACCCACCCACTTACCCACCCACCAGAACTGGCTGGACAGCTCGGAAGCTTGAGCAGATATTGGGAGTTTGATTCCCCACAGGGTCTCCCGGAAGAAGAGACACCCTGTATGGCCTTGGGCAAGCTGCATTGTGCCAGAAACGCCCCCCCAGGAAGAAGGGAATGGCGAACCACATCTGAGCATTGTATACCTCAAGGAAGGGTTGCTATAAGTAAAAACGGACTTGATAGTATGTATTTGATAATGATGATGCTGTTCCCTGATTCTAACCCTCAAGATGACATGACTTCCCACCTTCAAACGTCTCCTCTGCTTCTGAGGGTGACACCTGGTTTCCAGCTCTAGACTCAACTCTGACATGGTCCTCCAGAGCTACTCTTGGTACTGGCTTTTCAAACCCCTCCTCCCTAAAGCCCAGTAGTGGATACTGGGGTTCTCTCGTGAGTCACATTATGAAGACACTGCATTCAGCACGTACTTCCACCTGGACTCTGACCCTTGGTAAAAATAAATTATATATATACACACACACAGTGGTGCCTCTTCTTCTTGAGTTAATCTTATTCAGTCATTAAGAACCCACGAAGCAGCTGTATAAGGTCAGACGATGTGTCCGTCTGGTCTAGTCTAGCCTGCAATCGCTTCTCCAAAGTCTGAGACAGAGAAGAGTTTCTCCTGCCCATCGCTTGCTATCCAATACATTTTTTTTTTAATTGGAGATGCCAGGGATAAACCCTAAGACCTTGTACATGCAAGACGTATGCTCAGTTCTCGAGATGTGGAGTTGCTCATTAGGCTGCCCTCTCTGAATCTTGCAGCTAGACCACACAGGGAAAATCACCCACCAGATGTTAAGCATTTATTTCATTTTAAAAAGAGAGAGAACTCCTCACAAGGAACAGGTAAAATGACCCCATTTGGGCTCTGTTCTTTGTGGTGGAAGAACGGATAGGCAAAAATAAAATAAAATCAAGCCCTTAACACCAGCTTTTAAAAGAGCCATGGGATTTTTCTTGTTCCTTTTTAGTTTTGCCTAGTATATAAAGTACAGCTCACTCATTTCGTAATTAACTCTAATTGGCACCTTTCACAATCCGTAGCCCTCTTTTTCCTCCTGCCAAGAGTAGTGGTCGTATTTTTATGTTTGAAAACATGAAAGGAGAGGGGGCAGGAAAGGGGGGGGAGAGAGAGAGAGAGAGGAGAGAGAGAGAAAGAAAGAAAGAAAAAAAGAAAAGGCCCTTTCTGAATTCTCCTGACCCTTGTATGGGTTCCATCTATAGAGTTTAAAACTGTTTTTTTTTGGAGATATTATTAAAGGATTTCCTGCAATATTGCTGTTGGTAAAATGTTCAGATCCTGGAGGAGACTCTGAATTCGCCTGACCCTTGTATGAGTTCCATCTATAGAGTTTAAAACTGGTTTTTTTTGGAGATATTATTAACGGATTTCCTGCAATATTGCCATTGGTAAAATGTTCAGATCCTGGAGGAGACATCTGTGTGAGAGTAGCTCTTTAAACGTGTTTAAGATGCAGTGGCTTGAAGAGCAGGGAGGTTGTGGTAATTACGGGCACCGCTTGGAGAAACCCTAAATGCAAATGTCCATTCACTCCTTTGAGGGCTCCATAAACCTACAAGCTTAGGAGACCTTCCAGGAGGTTGAAGGACACAAGAAGAGCCAAAGTGGGTCAAATCCAAAGGCTTGCTTAGTCTAGCTTTTTCTCCAAGCCAATCTGAAGCACACCAGAGTGGCAGAGCGCTATGCCACTCTTGAATCTTTGATACTGTTTTTTAACAAGCAGGAATAGTGTTGCCATTAGAACCAGGAGCAGACGACTACCCGTATTCTCCCTCCTCTTCTTCCCCCTCCAAGTTGGACATCATCACTGTTTTGGTTACATTTTTCCTTTCTTTCCAAAAACAAGAAAGTAAAGCATTGCCCTAAGAAAATTAGGAGAGTAAGTAATTTCAGCTGTAATTGTAACTAATTTCTTTTCCAAAGTAACTTTTTAAGGCTCCAGCTGGTCCAGGGGAAGAACAATACCCAGCCCCCTCGTTAAACAAATGTCTGATTGCTACAAGGTGTTGCTCTTGGGGTGCAGCCCTCGAGTGGAGAGGAAATATCCACCAGTTACGTCAACCTCCCCAGTATTTGCTGTCGATTGAGAAAACAAACAGGGAGTAATGAAGAAGCAAGAGAGGGCTAGAGGACTTGGGAAGTGCTCCCCTACTATTTCTTTAGCCAGATCTGTCCCCATTAAAAAGAGGAAGAAGAAGAAGCAGCAAATCTACACATTAGTCTAAATGTTTGCAATGAGGTATCTGTTATTTACCCTCCTGGTTTAATTTACAGTGCAGAGTCACTGGTCCGGTACATCTCTGAATTATCCAGTGAGCTTCTTCTTTCGTGCAGGCGTCCAGGGGAACACTGGTATTTTCTCCTTGGATGCATCCTTCTACCTAGAGACGGGAAAACAGCATCGTTCTCTCAGGAAGTGCTTCCATTTACTAAGTGGTGTGTGTGTGTGTGTGTGTGTGTTCGTTCTGTGCCATTCAGTTGGAACTGACTTATAGTGACCTTAACAGGGCTTTCAAGGCAAGCGAGCTTTTTTTTAAAAAGTGGTTTTACCAGTTCCATGCCCTCAGTGAGTTCCCATGGCCGCGCAGGGATTCGAACCCTGTTCTCCAGAGTCCTAGTCCATCACTCTATTCACTCCTCCATGCTGGGAATTATTAAGTGATGCAGTTGCCATCCATTTGGAGTAATGGCTTGTCTTACTCCTTTGCCATCAGAATGATGGAACTATTTCATTGACCGTCTTTCTCCTTCTCTCTTCCCACCCCCCACCCCCCATCTCTGAGCTGCCTGCAGCCTCCTGACTATAAAACAATGGATGGATTGATAACCCTGTAATGGATGGATTGATAACCCTGCTTGGGAATTCCTGTCGGTCTCATACATTCAGCAACAGAGAGAAGAGGAAAGCCTAACCTCGGGGAAAGGCTCCATGTTCCAGGCTCACTCTTGCTCGGCAGGCATATTTTGCAAACAGGAATATAAACTTAACAGGAGGTTCTGCAAAATTCATGCTTCCTCGTAGTCATGAACACAACAGCATTGAGTAGCTCACGTGAGTAGGAATTTGTGAGTCACATGACAGCCTCAGGGGACATATGGAAGGGGACCCGTGAGTCGCCTGTGGTCATCAAGACTTTTTGAGACCTCCACTCCCATCATCCTACACCACTGGGGTCCAACAACTCTTGGAGGGCAACCCATTGCCCACCACTAATAGGGCATCCTCCATGTAGGTGTTGATGCCATGAGGGGAGATGAAACTATGGCTTAGCAGGGAAAGCATCAGAAGACGTTACTAGAGAAGTGACATGAGAGAGTCTTCCTCCCGTGAGATTTTGGGAGGCCATAGCCAGCCATGACAGGTTAGAGAGCAAATGGTCCAACTATCCTTCCCACCATCTCTGGACTGTCTCTGAAAGCTCAGCAGGGGCAGCCCTGGCCAATGCTTGGTTGGAGATGCCTGGAGACCCCTTGATGCCAGTCGGAGCCGACCATACGGGGCCAGATGCATCCATGATCGAATCCGTGCAAGTCAGCTGGCCTCTGTTCCTATGAGAGAAGGCCAGACCTCAGGAGTAAGAGAGAAAACACACACCAAAGGGTTAGGGTCAGATACTCTGACACCCAAGCCTGTTTCCCATCACCGAATACTCACCATAAGTAGCTGATGTCCCTCGCGAAGGCCTGCTTTCTCGGCTGGGCAATTCCGTTTGACAGAGTGGACAAAGGTCCCATTGGCGTTTCCCCCAAGCAGGGCAATCTCCGAACTCAGGCTGTCTCCGTTCAAGATGATTTGCTGAACGGCAAGGGGCGTGTTGTGCAGGCGTCCGACGGAGGTCACAGAGGGACGGAACGGCCTGGATCAGTGGGAAGAAAGAGATGAGCTTCTCCTTTTCCTCGCTCAAGTCATAGGCATGTGAAGGGAAGAACTCAGGGCCCACAGGAAGGGGATCATGGCCGCACACAGTGCAGCAACACTATCCGTTGTTCTTACAAGGACTTGAGGGTCGGAAAAAAAGCAAATCAAAACCCAGCTCTTCAGAATCAGCTGCCAAACAATTCCAGCAGTCTCTGGTTCAAGGCAGAAATCTGGGCTCAAGAAGGCACTGAAAGAACCTTTTAGAAAATATTCTGAGACTGCAGTCTAAAAGCCTCTCTCTCTCTCTCTCAGAAACTACATTTCACGCCAAAGCGCAGGAGACTTGACTTTGTCCCGAACGAGCAGATTTATGAGCAGCAGCTAATTTGATTTGATCAGTCAAATCAAATAGGAATAATTTATTAATGTACCCAAAGATTTGTCTTCTAGTCATAAACCAACGAAAGAAGGGAAGATGTCAATGTGTTTCAGCTCGCAAGGACGCAAACTACAGAAGATTAATGTCTTGGGCATGATGTATCGGGTAGCCGTTCCGCCTGAACCCCACGGAAAGAGGCGGGGGGCAAGCACCTGTGTCCCAGGAAGAGAGGCAAAAGAGAGCATTTTACTGGCCCTGCATGGCTTAGCCTCCACTCCTGGGAAGGGAGTCGAGAGAGGATTGCGTATTTAAATTGGGGTGGATATCTTAAAGCCACTTGTGGCCTCCTAGAGGAATCTTTATGGCCTCTGGGGCCAACTTGGAGACCCCCCCATAAAAAAGGGAAGGAAGAGAGGAAGGGATAGATAGATAGATAGATAGATAGATAGATAGATAGATAGATAGATAGATAGATAGATAGATAGATAGATAGATAGATAGATAGATAGATAGAACCATTGTTGAATATTTCCAGGATCTTTATTTATTTAATTTATTTATTTAATTTATATGCCGCCCACACTACCCAAAGGTCTCTGGGCAGCTTACACTTTGCACTAAGTACTCAGGAAGACCCCCTAAGTTCCCCTAACATTTAAAAAATTAAACTGGAAGTCTCTAGCTAGCTAGTCTCTCTCTCTCTCTCTCTCTCTCTCTCTCTCTCTGTGTGTGTGTTGGCCATTTTCAGCCACACAGATATACATGTGTGTAATTTCGTCTCTGCGTGTGCATACACACATGGCCCAAAATGGTCATTTCCAGGCCCAACACAGCTTGGGTGGATGGACCCCACCAAATTTGGCTCCCAAATCCCCTGAGGTGGCCCACCCCAATTTAAACGCCCCTTTACAAAACACAAGCAGCCTCCCCACAGAGGGGGGGGGAAGTATGTGTGTGTGTGTGTGTGTGTGTGTGTGTGTGTGTGTGAGAGAGAGAAAGGACCAGTCCTTCCTCTTCCCCCTGCATCCTAGTCTTCTATGCTCAGGTTGTTTTATCCACAGCGGAGGCCACATTGTGAGCTTCTCCCTGTAAGGCTGCCATCCAAGAGGAGGTTTTATTAGCCAGTGCTGCCGATTGTATAAACCAGCTGAGAGGACATAACTGTATGCCTGCACCAAACACCCTGCTTGCTTCAAAATACCTCTCCAGAGAGAATTTCCGAAAAATGGAGTTGACTTGCTCCAGTTCCAGACCCTCAGACTGGTGGGAAGACGACGAGGAAGGCAGCGAAGAGTATCTGTCGTGAAGGTCATCTGGGAAAGGAGAAGAGAGAGTTATAGGCATCAAAGCAAGATGAGGGAAAATGGTTAGGAACATTGGCATGAGGGAAGGCAGACATATAGAAAAGGGGCAGGATCTGTTCTCGATCGTCCCAGAGTGCAGGACATGTCATAATGGGCTGAAGCTACAGGAAGCCAGATTTAGGCTGAATAATAGAAATAAAAAACCTTCTTAACTGTGAGAGCAGTACAACAACGGAACCCAGGACCTTCGGAGGTGGTGAATCCTCCAGGGCTTGAGGCATTTAAGAAAAAAAAAAACTGGGCAATCATCTCTCAGATCTGGTTTGATTTGGATTCCTACACTGAACAGACTTGATGGCCTTAATACTTCCCTTCCCAATCAATTATTCTATGATTCTATGTCTAAGGGAATCCAATGGCTTCGAACGGTTACTTTATTGGACCAGGTATTAAGGGAGTTGGATTGCAAAAAAGGCACTCTTGGTCCTATGTATCAGGAGTACATCTCCACTACATGGTTGGGTCATGAAGCATGATTCTTCTTTTGCTTTCCTGGCTGTCTCTAGGAGGATCCTGGAATCTGTACAGTTGTGCCCCACTTAACAATTACCCCATACAACGACGAATCTGCATCACGACGATGTTTTTGCAATCGCAATTGCGATCGCAAAACAATGTTTTAATGGGTTTTTTTCACTTTGTGACGATCGGTTCCCTACTTCGGGAACCGATTCTTTGCATTATGACGATCACAACAGCTGATTGTCGGGTTTTCAAAATGGCCGCCGGCTGCTCAAAATGGCTCCCTGCTGTTTTTAGGAGGCATTTTTCGCTTAACAGGCACCCAAAAATGGCTGCTGTATGGAATATCTTCACTGGACGATTAGGTATTTCGCCCACTGGAACGCATTAACCGGTTTTTAATGCGTTTCAATGGTTTTTAAAAAATTTCGTTTGATGATGTTTTCGCTCTACAGCGATTTCGCTGGAACAAATTAACGTCGTCAAGCGAGGCACCACTGTAGTTTAATGAAATGCACAGCATTCTCTGTTGTGGTGTCAAGGGCAACTAAAGCTCCTCAGCAGACAATCCTAAGTCTCTCATCCAACTATAAGCCCCAGAATTCCAGAGGACAGAATCCTGGCAGCTGAAGTGGCTCCCAACTGCTACAGCTGTGTAGTCCCTCCTCAACTCAAGCAAGTTGGGGTATCCAGATAAAGGAAAGAAGGGTGCCAGTGGCAGTGCTTATTCTGTGTGTAACCACACAACTCAAAATGCAAGGAGGATTGTTCTAAGATGCCAACCACAACACTTTCCCATGACCAGGACCTTGACCTCCCAATTTCCTTCCAGCCTTGGGGTCCTCTTAAGGAGAAAGGCAGGGTTAAAAATATTTTAAATAAATAATCCCACCGTAACCTTTTCGCTTTTCTATCAGAGCTCAGATATACCCCCCCGGCCCCTCCGGCTTGGATTGGTAAAAAGAATCTATTTGGGTTTTGCTTTGGAGGTCAATAGCCAGTCAAGAGTAGGTAGAACATGGCCAGGTGGACCTGACTCAGTCTAATGAAGGCTGTGTACAGGATCCGGGCATAAGACAGCACACAAGGGATTCCAGGCTGAGTCTCTAACGTCTCAAATTTAAGAGATCCACAGATCAAGGGGAGCGGTTGATGACCTCAGAGACCTTTTGATGGTCTAAGTAGATAATCATGGGCTAAAAGAGTAATAGACAAAGTAATAACAGCCTCTCCCTCACCAGCAAAATCTAGAGGACTAGAGTCTCCCCACCCCTGGACTAAAATCAGATCAACCGAGGAGATGATTTGGTCTACAGACAGAGTCTTCTCTTGATCCCTATGTATGGCCTCCACATCTTCACCACTCAACTGCCCGAAGGTCTCCTTTTGTCTCAAATTAGCAGGACCTCCACCCCGTGGGCAACAGAAATAGGATCATTTGTCTTTAAAACGCAAGACGCATCCTTACCCTCTAACTCCAAAACATCGCAGCCAAAGCTGTCATTGTCTTCTTCGGTCAGGCTGAAATCAAAAGAAGAAAGTGGATTTCTCTCTGGCCCAAACGGGACCCTACCCTCAGCATGTCATTCGGTTGCCTCGACTCCACATGTGGCCAAGTACAGTATGTAGTTGCTTTTGTTTGCGACTGGTTGCTGGGAAGCAAACCTGTGCTCCATTTGCAAGTCCGATGACATGGAATGTGGAAAGAATTACGTGCCTGGAGGGAAAATGTTATCATTGGAGGGAAGATGCATTTCGCTTCACGCAATCGCTGGCCTTCTTTCCCTCTTTTTAAGCACGTTTTAGCACTCAGCAACATGTAGCAGAAGGTTCAAAGCAGAGACACCCCAAACATAGGGGGCTGCTTGGAGGAGGGAGGTGGAACAGTGAGAGGATGCTGCTGGTGGAGGCAGACCATGGGCCGCGTGAACAAGGCATAAAGTGGTGGAAGGAACCGTCCAGAGAAAAGAAATTCAGGGCAGGGAGCAGCGGAGATAAAGAAGAAAATATTCTACCTCTGTTCTTTCAGGAAACATATTGTGAGGTTTTCTGGAGGGGGGGGGATACCCTCCCACCCATCTCTCTCTTTCTCTCTCTTTCTGGTTCAGCTGCTCTTGCTTTTTGCTGCTTTTTGTGTTCCAACAACAGCTGAAAACTGCACAAACGCACGCATGCACACACACACACACGCACACACACACACACACGGCTCTCCCACAGGCGCTGTGCTTTAAAAAAGAATGGAATAAATCGTACAATGCATGCAAAATGTCACAGGTTTGCCAGTGGCAATGTTTCCGTCTAAGGGAAGAATTTTTCAAGTTCCGCAGAAGCAAAAGAAAAAATGGATTGCCCTTAGTCACCCTGTCAAATGCGATCAAAAGCATTTTGACAACTTCATGCACCCTCCCTGCTTGAATGCGGAGCCCAGAAACAACAGAACAACAACCACACTCTCAAAGCAGAAAGGCACCCTTCCCTAACCTGGTCTGCTTCAACGAGGACTACAACTCACATCGTTCCCATCTGGTATATATCCCTTGATACCATTGAGCATCCATGTTCTCTTGCATGGAGGTGGTTAGCAGCTTTGCAAGTGGCAGGAGGGGTTATTTGAATTGGGAGAATAACTCGGATCGAACTATACAACTTAGATGACCCCTCCTTAAGAAAGGGAATTCCTTAGCTCCTGAAAGCATCTGCTTGTCACAGCAGGAAGCGTTCCTCACTCCACATAGTTTGCAAATTAGTGTAGGGAATACATTGAGCAGAGTCACATAAGGCAAGATTCTTATGTGCAGCTGTAATTTCTCTCCCACGTGACTACCACCTGGAAATGGTGTCCCCCAGCCGTTGCAGAAATGCTTATTGCCACATGACCAAATCCCATTGAATCTCCTTGCTGTCACCCATTGTAACTTAATTATGAAACAAACACAGTTACTCTTCTGGAATATGAACCCTGATGTGCATATTGAACTCCCCAGTTTCCCACAGAAAGGAATAAAACATTAGGCAGAGCTTCTGTATATCAGAGGGCATCCCTTACTGGAGTAGAGGTACTCACCTGCTAGGAGGAGCATCTTCCTTGTAACGTCGGAGTATGGAATCATTCCCGGGGGGCTCAGGAGTTGTTGACAGGATGCTGGCGTTGCGATTCCATAGCGTTTGCTACATTTCAAAAGGGAAAGATCCAGAAAACACAAAACAAGCATTCATCAGGGCACTCTTAGGCATGTCTGTTTAGAACTAAATAGTCTGTTGTGTTCAGTTGCATATTCTTCTTGTGGATCTGTAAAGGCTGGTAGCTGAATACTGCAGTGCTTTTATATATATGTGCATATATACAAGCACTCCATATATATATATTCTTCTCTAGAGCAAGAGAGAGAAGAATATAATATAAATAATATAAATAAATAAAAAAATCCCACATTCATTATCTCAAGCCAGGTTGCCTACCAGTGCCCACAGCCTGCCAAACTAGTTTACACTCATGCATCTCCAACCCCTTCTGGCAACAGAAATACAACAACAGTACATTTATAATAGCCAATTTGCAGCTTTTATATGACATGAAAGATGTGTTGCCGAAGGCTGTCATCTCATCCTGCCATGGGGTAGCTCTCGACCTGCAAAGTGTATGGGAATGGCCATTTTTTCAGCTGTCCAAAATCTGGAGGTCTGCGCGCATGTCACTGAACCCGCAGGATGGCAGATTTGAGTACTTCCATGCTTTGCCATCTTGACACCTTGCAAGCAGCACTGGGAATCTCCTGGCTACACGTCTGTTGCAAGGCAAATGATGGTCAGTTCTACTCAGATTGATGGTGTTACGCCTGTTCCGCATGGAGCATGTGCTTCAGCCCTATTTCTGCCACTTCATGCCCCCAAAGAGTGTCTAAACCTGTCTTAAAAACTCCACTTCTTCTCTGTTTAGGTTACTTAAAGAAACATCAATGACCCCCACATCTCAGATGGAGTTCCTCTGTTGATGCTTTTTATTTTTTAAAGTAATAAACTGACTACTGAGTATTCCAGCCCGAGGGTCTCTCTGGGGACCTCAGCTGCTAATGGGGAACCTTGAACCACCTCTGGTACAAAGTGATACTCAAAATAAACCTTGCTTCCAGAAGGAACAAAGAGGAGCAGAAAGTCATGGAAAGAAAGCACTGTAGGAAGCGAGATAAAGGGAATGTCATCCAAATGGCAGGAAAAAAAACACCAATAATAACATAGCAGAACCTGGCCCTCTAAGGGGAATAAATGCTCTGTGTGCGGGAGCCCATATGTAAAACTATAAGAGCTGCTCTTGCACCCCTCAATAGATGTCGTTTAACCCATTTTCAGTTTTGCCCTGGCACATAATAACCCTAACTACTGCAATTATGAAGGTTTTTTAAAAAAATTATTAGGATTCCCTATGCAAGAAAGAAAAAGAAAGCAAGCACAGAGAAAACACCCAAAAGAAACACAGCAGCAAAAAATTCCAGATGGAAGAAGAGATCAAAGAAGTCCTTTACACAATAGAAACAGCTACCTAGTGAGGACACTCCCTACTAGGAACGGGCAGGTTGGCTTTCCATTTCAGTTTATCCAACCAGCCTGGGAGCAGGTGCACACACACACACACACACACACACACACAGAGAGAGAGAGAGAGAGAGAAAGAGAGAGAGAGAGAGAGCTCTATCTTCCAGCAGAAAGAAACAGCCAGGGGGATTCGGAGGCAGGGTTGGAAGGCTACCCCTGCAGAGCCCTGAGGCCTGTTCTCTGAGGTAGTTACATCATTTTGCTTCGTGGGACGGGTGTGTGTGTGTGTTCAACCTTATCACCTGCATTATTCCAGCCTCTCAACTGCGATTCTTGGTGGCACCAATTCCGAGCAGCGTTTGTCTTGCAGCGACATCCCGGACAGCTTAATTCATGTCCACAGCACACAATTCTCTAAATTCCTTGGGGGGCCCTTGTTTCTTACGGCTCACCAGAAAGGTGTTTTCACATTCTTCAACAGGTTTTTTTTTGTAGGGGAGGTTGTGTGTGGTTGTTATTACCACACCACGAGCTCATTCGCTGTATAACTAACTGGACCTGCTGTGCACATGATCACGTTGGCGCGTAATGGGATGTCTGCCTCGAGAGATTAGGGGAATACATCTGAGCAGGGGAGAAAATGGATCAGCTGGAATCTGATGAAACCCCCGGCTGCTTCCAGCACTGTCCTCCTGACCCTCGCTTTGGCTTACAGAGAGGAAGAGAAGGAGAATGTGAGTGTGTGCTGGGGGGTGGGGTGGGGAGGCAGGCTAAATTCGTTGGCTAAAAGAGAAGAAAAATCAACAGAAGTGAAGCATGGCCCCTCTCCAGCTAGAAGTGTTAAAAGCAAGAGATGAGACAGTGAAAGTCCGGTCAATATCTTTAAATAAACATGACAACCGGACAAAGAGGGCATTTTTTAAGAGGAAAGGTTCATAACAATAAAATAGAAACAAAGAGGGTAAAACATTTGAGGTTGTAGAATGGGAAGACTGTCCCTTTTGTAGCAACTGGAGTTGCCAACCCAGAAATGATAGAGCGAACACACACACACACACATGCGCACACTTACTCTTCCCCAGGCCCCACAACCCTAGTAATAAGGAAGGTCACACAAGAGATGCCCCACCAATGCCTTACAATTTTGCCAACTTTGCAGCTGCCCACTGAGTTGCTGATGGAAATGGGATTAGAAGAATTGGTGTCTGCGTGGCTGCTGCTCGAGTCGCCTCGGTCTTCGTCATGCCCTTGAACCGCTGCGACCACAAATGAGAGAAACGGATAAAGTCAGAGTGGGAGAGAAACACCCGGGATATTGGCATCCAGCTCTGCTTGGATGGAAATAATTTTGTGCAAACAAGGTTTCCAACACATGAGATTATTGGTCCAGTTGGGTTTTCCATTCCTGCTCCCCTCTCGTGTTGTCTCTATTTATTATTTTTACACTTCATGACCCAACAAAATTTCCTTTTGCTTTCTGATCTTATCCAGCAATTTTCTATTCACAGTCCCCTGCTTTCCCCCCACTACCCCCCCAAAAAACCCTCCAGGGTTTGCAAAATAGGTGCAAGCTAGTCTTTCTCCTCCAGGTATTTTGAATAACAGTTCCCATCACTCTTGACCCAGTGGACTCATGGCTAGTCCCAAAGGGAGCTGTGATCGAAAAACGTCTTGAGCTGACACACCCAATAAGATCCTTCTGGAGCCTGTTCATTAAATCCTTCTAGAAGTGGCCCATTCCCCCTACATTGGCTACCCTGATGTCAACATGAACCCAACAGTATAACATTTTTTCCGTGTATAAGGCTATACCTTTGTCTAAAATCTTTAGACTAAAAATTGAGGGTTGTCTTATAAACGGAAGTAAGCTGAGGAGAGATCAAAAACAAGTGGAGGGGAAAGCAGGGGTCAAAGCGATCCTGCAGCACTTTGATCCCTTTTCCCCTACACTTGCTAAGCCCCACTTAGATTACTTAATTTTGGGTTAGAAAAGTGGTAGGCGTCTTATACATGGGGGCGTCTTATACACAGAAAAATGTCGTATATTCTTCATAGCTGTGAATATTTGCCTAAGCAGAACTAGGTCTGTGCCCTGCATATGCAGAAGGACATCGACATGCCCCAGACATGATACTGAGTTTGCTCTCTTCCACTCTCTGCTGAGATTGGTTGCAGAGATCCTTCTTAAAATGATCTTGGTGGTTCTGGGTCTTTGTGGGGGCTGGTTTTGAGAGCCACGTGATCCTGTGGATCTTAGATCTCAAAAGACGGAAAACAGTACAAGCCAAAAGGTCGGTGATTCCAATGGATTTGTCAGAGTCTTTGCTTTTCATCTCGGAAAAGTTACTGTTACCACCTCACAGGGCTGATTAAATTCTTGGGGATTTTAGTCCCACCAAAGTAACATTTCCAGAACTCCAAAAACAATCACCCTGGCTTCTAACTTTGGGTTTTGCGCTCTCCTGCCTTGGGAAGACAAGTTAGAACAAGCTAAACAGCTTCAGCAGAAGGAGAGAAGTTTGATGAGACAGGCAACAGGGGCGGGTGTTTTTTCATCTGACCTTGAAACTCTGACGCCTTGCTCACACTGACAGGAGATCTCGTTCTTGGCAGCTGAAAGAGGATAGAAATCAGACTGAAGCTGGGACATGTGTTAGTCTTCCCTGCAAAACAGGGACACCTCCCACTCTTTTTCAACACCAAGCAGTGATTCTGTAAATTGCCTCTGATAAAGATTTTTTTTTAAAAAAAGCGTGAGTGAATTAATTACAATTTTCTAATACATCACAACTCTCATGTTTTGAAAAAAGTGATAACTGGGATTCACTTGAATGTAAAAGGGCACAGGATAGTGGGAGCAGGCATAAAAGCATGAATAAATTATTTACAGATATATTTTTAACCTTGTTATTGGAAATGCCCCCTCCGTAACGTTGGAATTGGGGTTGCTCAGTTACGACAAAAACCGAGGCTGCTTTGGGCACATCATGAGAAGGCCAGGCTTGCTGGAAAAAGATAATACAGCTGGGAAAGGCTGAAGGTCTCAGGAAAAGAGGAAGACCAAATAAGAAATCGACTGACCACCCACCCCCCAAAGGAAGCCATGGGGTTGAGTCTACAAATGTTGAGGACACAATATTTTGGAGGTCACCCTTTCCTAGGGTTGCCCTACGTTGGTGGTGACTAGACAGCCCATAACAACAACAGCAGTTATGATGACTGACAATGGGGTAGAGTTGGCACAAAGAGGCAGTTACATGAGCTCCACAAGGCTGAAAGACTGTCTGGTTGAACTTTTGGTTTGTACGCCCATCAACCAGATTTAGGAAATGGATAAACAGGATGGAGTGCACCAGTACCATCCCACTTGTATTCTCCATCATCTGCGTCCAGAGACATGCTGCCTCCAGTTGGCAAAATGATAATAATATGAATAATAATCTTAGAACTGCAGAGATGGAAGGGGCCCCTTGGGATCATCCAGTCCAGCCCGTATCAAGGGAGCAGACATCAAACTCCCAACCTCTGAGCCCAAAACCACTGAGCTACCCAACCATGTTGTTGTTCTTGTTACATGGCATCAAGGCACCTCCAACTGGTGGTGAGCTTAACAGGCATTTAAGGTATGTGATATTGAAAGCACTGTACAACCATTATCACTAGTAGCTACGAAAAACTGTACCCACTAAGACTTCTCCAAAGAGCACGTAATTGCATCTTGGTGATTCCCGTCATACACAGTGGTGAAGGCCACTACCTTACAAACGGATCTGACAAATTCATGAAGAATAAGTCTATCAACAAGCAATGGGCCATGAGAAGTGACATAGACCGCAATGTTCGGAGCAGCAAACTGTGGCTACTACCAATGATAAAAAATGGATAACAAATATTGGGTTTTGTGTTTTAATTCAAAATCCTTTGAACAAGTATTGATAAGATAAAATACAAAAACAAATGACAGTATTGAACCTTGTTATTCAAGCCATATACGTAACCAGTGTGGTAAAATTGACGGAATCACAGGAAACCTGAGTTCAAATCCCATCTCGGCCATTGTATGGTAACAGTGTGTACTAAGGAGTATAAAGGTTTGCGGAAAACAAAATATATCAGCGACGAGAACCAGGAGGTCTTCAAATGGACCAGGATCTATTCTGTAATTGCAATAGATCTCTTTGTCAATTTAAGTTTCTCTCGTTTTCTGCTTTTTCAAAATCTTTATGTCGCTGATGTGTGCCATTTCTGCATCATTCTCCTTTAAAAAAACATTATATGCGTTATGCACAAGACAAAACAAAGAAATGAAAATAGTTCAGTTTTTCCACTGCATTGTTAGCATTGATTTGTCAGTAAAACTTTATATATAAAGTTTACCAGAGTGGCAGAAGATCCTGTTACTTTGTCAATGAAGCAGAATCAAAGACTTTTGGCTTATTTCTCTGAACACGTGAATGAGCCAGAGGCATTGCTTAATTTAATTCTGAATTAGGCAGCTAATTTTGCTCCGGATTTTGGCTGCTTTCTCCCCCATTATTCTTCCCAGTCAATAGGAACTTTTTCATCAACCTTCTGCTGACCATCAGCTTTTTCATTTGTACTGGGTCCAAGGTATTATTCCGAATTTCTAACGTGAGTGTGTTTATGTTCCTACTTTCATAGTAATTAAGAGGCAAAGAGACATTTGTGTTTTGATTAAAGGAGCCAGCAAACACCAGGGGCCAGATCCTGTTCTGCCAGGCTCTTCGGCTGGAGCTTGGCCTGTCCTAGGACATGAGAAGCCTTCAGGCCCAGTTTTTCTCCAGGTGAGTATAATTTGGTTGTCTGTCTGGAAAGAACTCCCAAAACAGAATTCTGGGAGGACAAAAAAGAAAACAAAGTAAAAAAGAGGGTTTTTAATGGATCTTTGTGCCTTGTTGCTTTAAATGTGTTTTGGTGTTGACTTTGTTTACCATTCTTTTAGTGTGGCATTTGTTTGATCCTTTTTAAATATTTGTACACTTCCTGTTTTTAGCTTTTAAATAATGTCTTATAATGATGGAAGTCAGCGTGGGCCCTCCTTAAAGTGAAAGGTGGGGCAAAAATACTTTAAATAAATAAGTAAAATAAATAAAGACACCAGAAAACAAATCCACCCACAAATGCACATGCCTATTAGTAGCAAATCACAGAGGACCACTGCTTAAGAAACTCCTGATCTTACACAATGCTGTAGGTTCCCTCCCTCCCCCATTTATTCTGAGATGATCAGTTTTCCCTGTAACAGTGAGCCTGTCTACATTTCTCCAAAAACCCACAATATGTAGTGTTTTAATCTTAGCCAACTCAAGTCATGTGGTTTTTGAGTCGTTTCCTGCACTCTTACTGAGTAATTGAAATGCTCCCTTTTAAAACTGGCTGCAACATTCACAAAGGCTTAAGTCAGTTAAGAAAACAATGTGCTAATATGAATGGCCCTCTGGTGGCCCTTTAATTTGATTTCACTTCCTAAGAAAATAATATGACTCAGAGGAAAATAAATATGCACTTTAGAATTCGTTGTGTGGATGTGAAACTCAGCACGGTTTTAACACTGGTCAGATCCCAGGTTTTTTGGTTTTGAGACCAGGCAGTGTTTATGCACAGATGCTAGCCAGCTGAATGCAATGGTTCTGTTTAAAACTTGAGAAACTGCTGAAGAGTACAACTTGCATATTCACCAATAAGAGCCAAACTGTTATCTTACAGGAAACACATGTTTGGAAAATCCACTGTGGGGACCAATTCTGCTCATGGGGCAGGTGAGGTATCCTACTTTAAAGGATGGTCACTATTCAACAATGTCTTGTTACATGTCATCATGTCTCCCAATTTAAAGTCAGACAACCCTTGACCACCTCCAGTCAGAACTTGAACAGCAGCCCAGGCAGCAAAACAAACAAACAAACAAACAAACAAACAAACAAACAAACAAACAAACAAACAAACAAACAAACAAACAAACAAACAAACAAACAAACAAACAAACAAATAAATAAATAAATA